GGGGGGGGGGGGGGAGTGATGGCTAGCTTACTACAGCGACTGTGAGAGGAAAGCAGCCTTTAGTAGCAGAGCATGTAGGGCACAGACTGTGAGGGGCTACAGTGTGTCAAAAGCAGTTTTCCAAGCAATGCTGTCACCATTTCAAAGTCAGTGTGTTTTAATGTCAGTTTGCTCTCTATGCCTTTGCCCTGCTGTCCTACAAAGTATCTCAGTAGCAAAAATACAGATGGTATATTCTACAGTAATGTCACCACCGTGATACACTATATTCTTGTATTTTTGTTATATATAGCAATGAATTTTTATTACTGCCTGTCTAATTTAAATAGACAAAGACAGACAGTCGCTACAAGTCATTATTTTATTTATCATATTCATTCACTCCTCTCATCGTTTACAAAAGCACTTTTCTTTACAGTCTATTAATTTCATCACAACTAGGTCATCATAATGGCAATTCAAAAGAACTGTATTGAACAGATACAGCGCAGCATTGCTGTGTGCAACAGATTAAGCATACAGTATATGTTTAATTGACTTCAGACAGCATTATTGGAAGACAAAAGCAAGTCACTGGCTGTCAGAACAGCACATCAAAAGTGGCTGATATACAGTACATGACTAACCACACTGCCATCTAGTGATGCCATCAGTATTTATTAAACTCACTGAAATAAACAAAACTTCTAAATAAAGAGCATACAATATTGACATATCACCTCACTGCACCAGACTGTGTCTATTGGTAAACTGCAAGAAAAGCCAAATGTTGACAATAAGCAAACATAACTTGAGAAGTTTGGAATAAGAAAGCAAGAGGCAAATATTAAAATCAAGATCAGATAATCTGCAGACAGAACTTATCTCGTCAACACATCACCATGAATTGTGGGTGTAGAGAACGCCTCTATGCTTACTAGACTATACTAAATTTAGGATATATTAATTTCACTCATCCTATAGGCTTTGATCAGCGAAAAAAAAGTGCTTATCACTGATTCACCACTGCCTTACTAAAGATAACAGCTCATTACTTTATTTCTACTTACTGTAAATGAGCACATTAGGACTCTGCTGTTTATTTTCTTTCCATTACATGTAAATGAGAGGCACTAGGAGATGAATGGACTCATAGAGGCACAAACCGTTTTCTGGCCTGACTTAAGTTCACAGATCCCTCATATACTGATGGCTAACTTTAACCTCTGCGTTCACAGCTCCACTATTTACTTTAGTTTCTGGATGCAGTCAATGGTCTGCAGGAAGCATTGGTCCAGAACGAGGGAATACCTCTGAGGAGAAGGATGGAGAAAGGAGTCATTCAAACCTGGAATGACAAATAGGTGAGGCTGTTTACGTATGCTGTGTTTACATAAGTTTGTGTTTGGTTTGGTGGGTTATTGGGCATTTTGGAATAAATCTACACCTTTCTGCGTAATACAGCTGCATAAAACAATATTAAAATTGTTTGGTGAAGTGTAATTTATTTGAAAGTGATGACACTCTTTAATGACTGAAGTCAACAAGAGTAGACATATTAATCTATGACAACATTGTTTTTTCACTAAAATAAAACTATGAAATGGGCACTGAACAGCAATAACCTTTTTGTTTTTAAATCCAAAAGCTGGTAACATTGGCCTTGTTCCTATCAACTACCACATGTTCAAAATTGAAGCTTTAGATAACACGTTTGGGGAAATATTCTACATTCTCACAAACAGACTTCATTTTTATATAAAGTTGTGTTATGGTCGATAAAAAACAAAACAAAACAAAAAAACAACCAAATAAAAATGTATTAAGTTAAACATTTTCTCTGGAATCAGATGCAGTTAGGGACCATGACCAGTATTTACTCCATCAACACCCTTTCTGACGCACATTGCTACATTTGATACATATTTAGCAATCCTGCAGGGCATGTAGTCATAAAGCTTATGGTATCGCATCTTTTCTTCCAATGACACATCTCACTCTCCTACATTAAAGGGTGTCTCACCTTCTATCCAGGAGGTATTCAACACAAGCTGTTTTTTGTTACTCTGAGCATAAAGGCTTTCTTCATCACGTCCAAACTCTGATATTTTTGTCTTGTGGCACTTTCTCGCTCAGTCCAATGGGGACCTGCCAATCTCCCACAGGGTCCTGGAAGAAATAATGCGGTATTTGAAGCAGCACACTAACTCAGCCATGGTTTTAAATTAAGCGTGATGTGGAGGGAGAGGAGAAGGAGGAGGAGGTTTCTGCTGAAATCCTTTTGGCTACATCGGAAGAAAATAACTCGGATGTTAGTGTGAATGTTAGTATGAATGTACGTAGAGGCCACTCCCACCTGGCTACACATATCCAGACAACCTTTGGATTAAGAAGCTAAGATCACATACTGTACATGTGTGCAACATGCTCTGGGGAGCGTATGGAGGACTACAGTGGGAGTTTGTGCAGCTTGAGTACGCATTCATTTTCAACCACTATTCCCACACAGCTGGTTTCAAGTCAGAAGTGATTAGCAGTAATATTTAAAAGAAATATTCAAGTTTTTGGGAACTTAACTGGGGTTTATATTATTTGGATTGGCCTGTCACACGTTTATGTACCATCTGGAGCCAAAAAAAACTCTAGAAAGGTCATAGCCATGAAAATAAACAATATATTCGAAACATTTTGTGAGGCTCTGGTTCCCTTTTTTATTTATTAAATTGGATGTCCCATTAGTTGAAAAAAAAAAATACGAAACTGTTGCTGTCTGTACCTGCAATGCGCTCATGGTTGCCAGCGGAGGAAAAGACATACATAGATTTAATAAAATGTGACAGTGACATTTAAACAGCAAGCATACAATATATGAAACCATGGGGAGACATCCTATCAGCGTCAAACATTTCTACAATCAGTAAAAACACCTGTCTGGTGCCATCAGGGTTAAGGTGAAAGCTCTGCTCCTCAAGTGGTTTTAAACTTAGGTCACCAAACCCACGAATGAACCATTACATTTTTGAGGGTAAAAATTAGGAAGAAGACGGAAATCTGTATGATGTTTGTGTGGAAGAAGTGGGGAGCTTGTTTCCTGCAGGCTGCTGTTTGTCACGTGTGACAGAAGAAGGTAGGGCTCAGCTGGACGTGAGGTTGAGCAGGGACCAGCCAGTTCCCCTGGTTAGTGTCTTGTCTGGGCTGTCACAGAGCCTGCAGGAAAACATGCTTGACTTGTCTCATCACGTCACTGCAGGGCTGTAGGTCATGGTGGAGAGTGCTCTTTAGCGATGCCCTCAGCGCCTCCATGTCCTCCAGCTGAATGACCAGCCAGGAGACAAACATACAAAAGCAACATGAACATCTCTGTGCAGCCCAAACATGAGGGTTAGAATGAGCACTACCCATGGACTGTGTGTCCATTGCGATGCATCATTATTCCTGTGCTCTGGTATACATTTTATAGTTAGAAAAACAAAACTCTTGCTTGATTTCAGAACCAATTCTAGACACCTACAATGTGTTGTCACAGTTGAAATGTTCACAAATGCTAACGGTCTTGCTGGACAGTCTGTTCAGCTTGGCTGTGGACAGTTCCTGTTGCTCACAGACTCCTACCACCCTGGTTCCAAGGGATGCTGCTCCTGAGGGACAGAGTCGTGACAGCCACAAGTGAGGTAGACAAGGAAGAAATTGATGAATCATGAGCATGAAAATAAATGAAAATCTGCTTGACATTGTTGCATCATGCTGTCACTCAGCCTCGGCAAACCAGTTCCAATCTCTTTTACAGTCCTTACTTTGAATCTAATTGTGTCCTCTCCAGCTGCTGCTCCAGGATCACCATCCTGCGGCGCTCCTCCTGGTACTTCTGTTCTGCCTCCAAAAACCTCTTGTTCATCTCTCTCTCTCTGGAAGATTCAAGCAAGTTCTCCAATTACCTAAAAAATGATTCCATTCCTCTTCATGGTGACTGTACAGATGGACTAATACATCTTCAGATGGATATGGAAAAATGAAATTTGTAGTGGAGGAAAATTAAGTTTCTTTGCTTTGATTTCTGATACACGTGACACTTAGCTTATTATTTTAGCAAAAATATACTAATGCTGACTTTAGTCGTCAAAGAAACTGCACAACTCTTTGTTTCAGTGGACCCCTCAGTCATGATTTGGACTGAATAAATAAAGAGCTGCAGACTGTGCAATGGCCTTGAAATGAGCATGGACTACAAATTATAGTGGTGTGGTTTTGACGCTTCTGATGCAATAAAATATCAAAACTGTCAAATGAAAATATTAAAAACAACATTTCAAAGGTCCAGTGCTCCTTAAGTAAATCCTTAACTGACGCATACCTGCAAACAAACTCAGCACATGGATAATAAGAAGCAGCTGACATTAATAACATTTTATTACATTAGTCTTTAATATTATATTAGTCTTACTTAGACAGGCTAGCATTGGTATTGATATTTTTAGATCTATGTTTCTGCATTTCAACAAACACATATCACTTGAGAGCAATAAAGTGGAGAACAAACACAATGTCTAAAGCATATATTACTTTTTCTGCAGGGCATTAACCAGCTCAAGGAGTCTGTTCTTCTCCACAGACAGGATTTTATATTCAGTACACTGGGTCATCAGTGTGCTCACATCAGCTGAACATTGCGGACATTTTGAAGAACTTGGGCCCCTGAGAATGAGAGGATAAAACATTAAAATTAATTCATAATTTTTGCTGTTAATTCATTTCGCAGTGCTACAATACATAAAGTGATGTTTAACAATGTATAAGAGTAGAGAATTCTACACTACTTCCCACAGCAGGCAGAACCAGTTTATGGCCAAATTTAGAAACTGAAGTGGAGAAAAAGGTGACAGTTATATTAATAGGGGATCCCAGCAGATTACACTGATGAAGTCCTAACCCCATGAAACAAAATCAATAATCTGATTACAGAAAGTCCCCCATTAGCCAGAGTGAATTATTAACCCTTGTTTTGCCAGACAAAATGTCTGTTCAGTCTTACAGTGACAGCTAGCAGAGGAGATGTAAATACAAACATCAACAGTCTTAGTGACTGTCAGTGACTGACTCCATTAAAATATTCTAACTCTGTCCATATTGCAATGATCATTTATCATGATTACCATTAGCATACATACCCTGAAGATATTATTCTTTTGTTAATGTCTCCCTCTTCAGGGAGAGATCCTGAACTGCAACTTGTTGTCTTGAGGCTGGACTGTCTTTCTGCACCCTCTTGCTGCAGCAGATGTTTACATAAAATGAATGCAGTGAATGTGAATGACCAAGCATTATAACAACAGGTTGAATGGACACATAACTTTTCAGCTCAAATTTTGTTGCCAAGAACTCAAACGCAACATTATTTTTGTTGAAGTGAAATTAGATATCATTCCCATGATTCTGCTTTTTTGTTTGTTTACCTTGACAGAGAGCTGCTGGATTTGCTCTTCTAGTTCTTTGATCTTGGCCTTAAGCTTCTGGATGACAGTGTTGTGCTCTGAACACTCACTCCTCAGCTGTTGTCTCGGGCTCTGCTGGGTCTCCTTGTTCTGTACATTCTGCTGCTGGCTGAGTCGTCTAAGCACCTCCTGCATCTGGGTCTGCTGCTTCTGCCAGAGTTAGATGGGGCAATTATTTTTCAGAACAATGTAGTAAACCATGGGCTTGTCACAGAAAATCCTTCTTTCTGCAGGCTGTGGCGATTTTAACTCCTAAATGTAATGTGAAATCCCTGATTATTCATTGGTATGTGGGCTGCACAACAAGGATTGAATGAATGAATTGTCTAGTTAATAAACCATTACATGTATAAAACATTTCATGCCTTTCGTGGAGCATTTACTCCTAAACCACAATTTGTCAGATGGGCTTTAATCACATTACACATTCAACCATATTTAACTCATGAACAGTGCTATAAAATTAAATATATTCCTGTTACATAAAAACCTTCTAACTCCAATTTCAGCACTTTGAATGCTTAAACTTTTGGACTCAAGGACACAAGTTAAAACATAAAAAAACACTGTTTTTTTTGCTGAAAAGATTACTTATTACAAGGCTTTCACATAATTGAAAATACAGTGAAACACGTTCTATGTCTCACAATACCAACTGTATTAATAGTAATATAAGACACGTGTATAAATATAACTAGATCATTTTCTTATATCTAAATTCTTACCAGCAGAGCATCCACAAGCTCATCATCATGTTTACCCTTCTCCAGGAGGGTTGAGATCTGGATCTTCAGGGTTTTCATTTCAGTAGACAGAGATTTGTTCCTGGCCTTAGAGGCGTCCAGCTTTTTCTTCACATCCTTGTGGTCTTTCAGGAGGGCCTCGTAGTCCACTGAGATCCTCTGTACAGGTGTGGAAGGAGAACAGGGCCTTGGCACATTAATACATTCATATCTCAATTAATTTATTGTATAATTATTGTATATGCACCTCAAATGCCTCCCTCTTCTCTTTCTCAATGCTGCGGATGTAGCTCAGGTTCCTGTCTTGAGGAGGAGTTCTGTGAGGGACCTCCACGCCAAAAAACTCTTCCTCTGCACTCAGGACACTCAGCTGTCTTCGCTGAGTTGAGTTCAGCTGCTGCTCAAGGTCCCGCAACTGTTGCACAAAGTCCAGTTTTGTTAATGTTGAATTAAGGTATTTGTTTAACATGTCTTCTACCTTGTATTACTTTGCAAATACCTTAATTAACTCTGTAAAGAACTTTGTAACTTTAATTTGAGAAGCACATTGTGAGGTAACGTAGAGTGTAATTTTTACCCGTGTCTGAAGAGCCAGTATCTGCTGAGAGCGACCTCTAAAGCTCCCAGGGCAGCTTAATAAGTGCTGCAGGTTGACCTCCTCTCCAACTTCACTGATTAAAACCTACAACAGAAGCAGCAGATCATATTTTGGAATACAAAAGTCACTGATGATTAAGCACCATATTATGATGCATTATGATGATCTTGATCTTGAACAGTTAAGACTCAGAAAGAAAGATACCTTCTGAGCTACTTTCAGCTCCTGTTTGACAGACTGAACCTGGTTGCGATACTCAGTCACTTTCAGCTGAGCAGCGGCTAATTTTTCCTGCAGAGATTTCACCACTGGATTTTCCTGCTTTTGTGAAAAAACGATACATCATTCAGATTAAGTTGCAATTGTTAAAGTTAGTAAAAATATCCTTTTGGTGAATTTTCACATCAATATTACCTCGCAGTCGTCAGAGGACTTCTTATTCTGTGACTTTTTATCACTCTTTTGCCCGGCTGGAGAGTGCACCAAAGTGGCCTGCAGCTATGGAAAGGAGCGTAAAATTATAATTATTCATTAATTTATTCACTCTGGAATAAATCATATATCTGAACAAAGAGCATTATAAATAATGTACATTTGTTTAAACAAATACATTGCTAAAAAACTAATTGTAAAAGGCTGTATCCAGATACAACCACTGCAAAACACTGTTACCTCCTTCTCAAGCTCTTTGATTCTGTTGCTGTTTTGCCTGGATTTAATCTTTTCTCGCTCAATTTCAGCAGTCAGCTCTCTATTCTTCTTGGACAGCTCAACAATCTTGGTGGCTGCTATGTCCCCTGCCAAGCCCGATGTCCCTAAACAGATGAGTGGATGTGCCATGAGGAAGCTGTGACCTATAACATCACTGGAATATAAGTGGAAGTTCTGGTATTATACCTGCTAAAGCCAGTCGTTCTTCTTCTCTTTTCTTCTTCAGGTGTTTAATCTCAAAATCCTTTTCACTCACAAGTTTGAACAGCCGACCATTTTCATCCTTAAGCTCCCTCAGCTGGTCCAGAAAATTCTCATTCTGTGGCAGTCTATAGGGAGGTAATCAAATATATATATAGAGAGAGAGAAATATATTGCAAATTAAGATTACAATTGAAGTTGACACCGAGGAAAACAACTTTAATAAACATTCACTTCAGCCTTTGTAAGACTCACCTGTCTTTGAGATTGTCTGTCTGAATTCCTTGCTTAGATAGATCTAATTCATCCTGGGTAACGCTGCCATTGAGCTTCTCTGGTTCTTTCTCCTTTTTCCTTTCCAGTTTTCTTCTCTCTTGCTGTTTTTGTAGCGCTTGGAACTGAAGCCGCAAGTCATTCAGTTCATCATCATGCTCCATGATCTATAGTTTATAGCATAAGGAGAAAATAATCAACTCAAGGGGGGAAAGGACAGAGGAAATCAATATTGTGACTAACAGTTATGAGGGGATTTGGGTATAGTAATATCACGAATACTTGGGTTGGAAGGCTGCAGTGCCATTAAGTGCCACAGCTCTTGTTTGTTTTGTTTAACATTAGCTTGGCAATCCATCATTAATAACATTTTTCAAGCAGAACAAGTTATAATATGTGTTATAATAATGACCACTCTAAATCTGTGTTCATCCTGCTCATGTGTCTTCTCTTCATATTTGCTCCAGATAGGATTGGAGCTCACAACTTTAATCGTGGTCTTCCAACTCGTGATAAGTGTTAAGGCTGCATAAAGAGGAAATAGCTCACCTCTCATTTATCGAAGTACCGCTCTTGTAAACAAATGAAAGGCTGTTTAGCACTGCATCATTGTGTGCGGCGGGTAAAGAAACTGTAGCAGCTTCCTCGCTGATTGCGACGCTACTGTATCCATAGCGACGGCACTCTACAGACTCAGGACAAGATCTCGCGGGAACAAGAATGCAGCCATGGGAACGTGAATGCGCTACCTGGTGGACCAATTTGTCAATTTATTAGAAGTTACTTGCTAACAGGTGCAAACCCTCTCGGCTGACTCAGTTGATCTGAAAATAGATAATTAAACTCTCAGCCTTATTTCAAAAAGGTGGATAAGCTGAGTTTACTTGCTTTTACCCCTCTACCCCCCCACCCCGGGCTAAGACGCAAAGTAATAGTATTTCTTCTGGAAATACAAAAACTAAAGTTAAGCCTTTATCATTGAGCAATATCCTACATGACCACAAGGGGGCGAGATACTCAACAAAGCAGCTACTGTCAAACTGCCAAAAGGCAACAGGCTGTACTGTCAATAACAGTATTATAATACACACAAGGGGTTTTAGTCTCTGTTATGCCAAATAGGTAAATACATGATATTACTTTTTTTCTCAGGTTGGAAGATACTGCTGTAGACACATCCAATCCACGTTCAAAACAGTCATCCAGTTATAATAAGAGTATAATAAACTCTAGAAACAGAAAAGTTGAATACTGTCTTCATCTGATGGGACAACTTTAAGGATGTTGATTTGGTATAATTGTGTGTACACTGTATGAGGAGGAGTAATGAAAAGTACATGATTAGTCATGCTTACATACACCCCTTTTTGATAAACTGAATAAGTTGGCAATCTGACATCCCTGCTCTCCACTTGCATTTTGGCACGGCATCTGATACAGCTGCAGTACATTTACTGGATCTCAGGTACTCATTGTGCTCCTTTTTGTGAATGTACACACCGTCACAGATGCTACAAAGTCACAATGACACAGCATTTTAGAATATCTTGCAATCTTAAATGGATATAAAACATTTCCTGTTGACTCTTAGGGTGGAGCAATACACGGCGAGGGAGAGCAGTTTCATTTGATGGGAGTGGTAGGATAATGTTTAAAAATATGTAATGGTTTTATTGGTTGGGAATTTTTTGGACACCAACTGACCCACATTGAAGTCAGCACTAAAATTGTTGCAACCACCAGTTACAAGTTTGACCTGACATACAAGAATTTAATTTGTAATAAACCATAAACTTAGCAATGCAATCTTCAATGGGTCTTATCATGATGAACGTTTTAGTGTTCAGCTTTTGTTAACTTCCCTAACAGTCTGTTTTAGAGATTTTTAGAGAACGTAACAGTGTATAACAGACTCAACTGTTGAACATACATCACACTGCATTAGCTTTATGTAGGTGTGCATAATAAACTGGCAAATGAGTATAAGTTGGCATTAGTTACAGTCAAACACAGATTTTCGGTGCAGGTTAGAAAAGTTTCAAAACACAACAAAATGTCATAATTATAAGACCGCTCCATTTTTTATTTCCAGGAAGAAAAAAAACTTTGAATTACTTCAAAAGGCATCTATTTAAGCATATCACAAGATCGGATACATTATGGTATTTTATAGGTTTCTGCACAGTCGGTAGGTGTACTCATGTGTCTCATTAAGCTGCTGTAATGAAACATTGGACCCTTGTGTATCATAACATAATGATGAAGTGTGAGAAAGACAAAAAAGAAAAATTTGTATAATTTTTACAAGAGACCTTTTTGGTTTTGTTTCATGGTTTTTGTTCCATTTCCATTTGTTTTGTGGGATAATCTGAAACTGTAATGAGTCCAAAAAAACATCTGTGTCCTTGTTGTTAAAATAATGTGAATGCACAGGCCTTGTCTGTAGACCGCATGTTTTCAAGGCCTTCTATAACCAGCACTAGTGCACTGGGGTGCCCATTTTTGAAAGGCGGGCTAAGGTGCAAGCATTTTCAATTTGGCAAATGTACATTAGAACAAAACAGAATACAGCAGATATAGTAAAACAATGACAGTACGGTCGAGCTACCTTCCATTGAGTGTTATTTTAGCCTAGTCATACCACTAGTTTTGCAACTGTTTTGCTAGATTTTATAGTTTCTGATATTTCACCCCCACACACCATTCAAATAAGAGGTAAAAAAAACCTCTATCTGTAATGTCACCGGTCCACACAGATATAACCCTGTGTGCAACCAGTGTTAAAACAGCTGAGTACACCTTCTGAGTACAGAGGTAATACAGTAGTTTTACCCTCTGGTATACCATTTAGAAGACAGGAAGTGTAATCAATAAGTTATAACTATTTACAGTGGAGGTGAGCTGCTGAAGGGACGTGTGCATACAAAAATGATGACACATCTCTAAAAAATAAACACTATACACACCTTAATTTGAGGTAATATTAAGGTACATAAAATATTAATTTAAGAGTCCATGTTCACTTGTGTCCCACTGCTTTCTGTTCTTCTTTGGGTTTTGCAAAGTAGTCTCTGTACATTGAATATACGACTCCTGAAAACAAAGGAACAGAGGGATGAGTGACATGAAAAATGGTCACAATATAACAAGCCAAGATCCAGCGATATATTATCACATGACAAGTTGTGATAACAGGATTAAAAATACAAGTCAGTATGTAAAAACAAAAAGCAAAACAAACACAAATCCCCCAAAAGCTGAAACAATACAACTTAGATCTGATCAGAAAAGATTATATCTACTTACCAATAGTCATAGCTCCAACCACAAAGCCTTGGGCAGCTACACGCATGTGGATCAGGTGAACCGACATTTTTGTATCTCCCCGACTTTTCATTTTCAGCAGTCTGTAACCAACAATGGCGAAGAATCCAGCCATCCCTGCAAGCAGCCAAGAGGACAGATCAATTTACATGATTGATGACTAAACACAAAATAAAGTCAGTGTCATAACTGTGGCAACAAAAACTGTGGCGTACACTTTATGTCAGACTTTTAGACAATTCTGTTGTAACTTAACTCAAGTTACTTCAACTCTTATTTCATCATTTCATTATGTAACTATTAAGGCACAAGGTGTACTCACCAATTGGCACAAATGGATTCTCCTTTGCTTTTCGGATGAACTTGGACTCATTTTCCTCATAATCAGACATCTTGACTAAAAGAGAAAAGAAAAGAAAAGTTAGTTATTAGTACAAGTTTGATGATATTCACAAATAGCATGCTAGCTCATTCATTGCAGGTAGGATCCATTGAAATCATGTTAAATCCTCACTGAAAACCTACATTAGAGCTGTGGATGTGGAGGTTTTAAGCTATTAAATATCAAATACTGGTTCAATTCCTACCCGAGCTGGTTTGTAAGTAGCTATTCAGAGCTAGCCAATGACAGCTCAGAGGTTACACATGAAGGGCAGCAGGGAGACACATCCTTTTATAGGCCTGAATAACTCTACCTACGCAGCATATTGTGACACACAGCATCCATTGTACTAAATACTAAATGATAATATTGTGGCTGTAAGTGGCTTACATGTTGGTCGAAGGCCAAATAAGAGAAATAAAGAAATAAAGCCATGGAGGGCGAGGTTTAACAGCAGATACTTTCTTACCTGTTTAAGGCGTGTGGGGCAGTTTGAATAGTCGGTAGAGAAATAATCCGGATATGTTTTATGAGTCTTAAAAGCCTCAGATAGCACGTACTCTGTGGAGGAAGTGAGGAGCCGGCTGCGTGATATAATATCCAGAGTGCCAGAGCACGCACATCTGACGTCAGCGTGATATCAGCGTGTGTTGCGTTCAGTGCGTGGGAGAAAATGGGAAAGACAGGCTGCGCGTTAAGAAAGGCTTGAAAGGGTGCGTCTCAGTTCAAATTCAGATTAAAATGCCTGTTGTGTTTTAATGCGTGTAGGATTTAGTGATAGATAGATAGATAGATA